ACCTGCTTAACTCGCGCATTCATCGTTCGAAATCAGCGAAACGGTCCATCAATAATCTCCCACAGTCGTTCCACCATGTCAACCCCCGGAACAACCCTTTCGCTCAATCCTCCCTCTACTAGAATACAAATCTGTACCCCTGTACCCGGGACCAACAGCATAGAAATCAATCTACGCTGCTGTAAACACGAGCATCGCACAAAAGAAGTATACACGTATAAAATCAAGGAATTCGAGTCACTCAATGTGTCGCCCCTTTCGTCCTGAGTACTCAAAGGATTCACCATCGACGATCTCTTTTAACCCTCGTATGCAGTACTTTATAATATATTACCTAAGTTCCGCGAGCACCAGTCGAAAATGTCTTAAAAAATATACGATTTTAAGACATATTTCTTTTAAAAATAAAAATATTTTTACCCCCACTGCTTTTCATTTTGTCGTGGAGTGTATCTAGGGTTACATGGAAGGGAGAAAAATATTATTCTGCAGGAATAATAATTTATTTACTAATAACGAATGGCAGAGGACACACAGAGGTATGTCAGTTTTGGAGTACTAAGAGGGTTGAACCGACCCTTGTTGAACGGATTAAAAATATCGAATTATGATAGATTATTTATGTTTAACTTATGTTAGTTATATATTCGACTCAGCTTTGACCAGCGTTCACCGTACTTCTCGTTTCGACAGTCAAATCGATGACACGTGTGTGGAAGTCGCTTCTAACCGCGAAGTATACAGGGTGTTTAAAAAATAGGATTCGAGGCTTCAATTAACATAGATCCAAATGCTAAAATTGTATGCTTAGGTATTGAATATTTAATAACAAATAATCACACATTTTTTAATCCCCTTATCAAGGACCTCGCATGATTTTCTTGCACGTGGTTGGTATCTCAAATTTATATCTTCGTACATTTTAACGAATTTGAAAATATCACACTGCACAGAAGCACCCTGTGCCTAATCTTCCATGCCCGAGTACCTCCACCTTCCTATTTCAAATAATAAAAATAATCGTAATGGAGGAACAAGGAAGAGGGGGTAAGGGGGTGGAGAAGAGGAGGAGGAGGAAAGTAGCGTATCTGCGGCTGCTCTCTCTCTCTCTCTCTCTCTCTCGGAGAGAAGGTTCTCCGGAAGGAGAAATAAAATTAATCCGCTCGCGGGTCACAAAAGGCGAGAGTGGGCGGACTCGCGGCGATAGAAACGAAACTCTTGTGGGCCTGGAAGAAGTCTCACGAGGTCGGCCGGTAAAAAGGGCGAAAAGGAGAGGAGAGAGAGAGAGCGTGTGCAAAAGCTTTTCCCCCGGCCTTTGGTCGGCGGCCTTTGATGATCCCATGCGCTAGTACAATGCGCGATCGTGCTCGTGCGCATTGCGATTAGTGTTTTTAATGCGCACATTGTATAAAGAGAAGGGCCCCGTTTCCCGTATCAGATGCGAGGTGGCTGGGACCAGTTATTAGGCCTCTGACAGGCCCATAATCCCGTCGGCTCTCCTAACGAAAAATATAATACCCATTAGCGGAGATCTTTTCAGTAGGCCTGGGATATTTTCTTTCGCCTCCTCCTCAGTTCAATTCCCACTCCTTTGATCTCTGTCTTTTTTCTTGCGGCGCGCCAGCATTCACTCTCCGCGCTCGTCCTTCCACTCTGCTACCCTTTCCTGGCCGCGCCATGTTTCGCCCTATCTTCGCCACCGATGCGTGCCACAGGGTGCTACCGGAACACGCGTCCCAACTTTCCAACGGAATCACCTTCGACCGATGCCTATCTGCGGCCCGGCTCGCTTCTGGACACGTTTGGGTCCACTGACTCGCGATTCACCACTCGGCACTTGAGTTTCTATGGAACCGACCTTTTCCGACCTCCCGGGACCGTTTCACAATTGCTTTTGTACGTGTCCACAGTTGCACCGTGATATCTAGAGTTTCACTTGGAGAATTCGGGACTTGGGTGCTTGGATTCTTGAAGTTCTTCTTCGACCTCGAGGAACGGTTTGACAATTTTCTTGGTGTATGTTGACAGTTGCACTGTGATATCTAGAGTTTCAGTTCGAGAATTGAGGATTTGGGTGCTTGGGTTCTCGAAAATGTGGCCTTCGATCTCGAGAAGCTTTTGACAATTGCTTTTGTGTATGTCGACAGTTGCACTGTGATACTTAGAGTTTCAATATGACCTCGAGGAACGGTTGACAATTTTCTTGGTGTATGTTGACAGTTGCACTGTGATATCTAGAGTCTTAGTTTGAGAATTGGGGACTTGGATGCTTGGATTCTTAGCAGGGTGGCTTTCTTCGACCTCGAGGAACGGTTTGACAATTTTCTTGGTGTATGTTGACAGTTGCACTGTGATATCTAGAGTTGGATTTTGAGAACTGAGAATTTGGGTGTTTGGGTTCTCGAAAGTGTGACCTTCGATCTCAAGGAACGTTTGACAATTGCTTTTGTGTATGTCGACAGTTGCACCGTGTTATTTAGAGTTGCAATTTAACAATTAAAGACTTGAGTGCTTGGGTTCTTGGAGAACTAGCTTTCTTTGACCTCGAATGAACGTTTGACAATTGCTTCTGTGGAAATTAATTATAGTTACACTGTGGTGTTCCAAGTTTGGTAAGTCTAAGCTAGAGTCCTTGGTACCTAGGTGTCTACGCAAGTGGCTTCCTTTGACCACGAGTGAACATCCTACAATTTATTTTTCTGGCAACCAACAAATGTACTGTGATGTTAGAAAGCCTTTGTGATGAAAGTGACCTTTAACCTTCCGCAAAAATTTTTGTTCCCTTTTATTACATGCAAACCTACAATTGTTGGTGTTCCAGGTTTAATATTGGGTACTTGGGGTTTTAAAAATTGACCTTTGTTCACTTCTCCCGAAAATTCGACGATTCTTTTATTTATAAACGAAAGAAGCGATAAAATAATCATATTTTTAAGTCTTTCTTGAATAATATTCCGACGAATGTCTAAAATCCTCTTCTCTCTGTTTCAGCTGAAGTGAGGAAGCAGATCGAATCGGGGTGTCGCAATGGTGAGTCACGATTTTTTATAAACATTTTGAAAAATACCAATTGTCAGTTTTTCGACGAAAAATCGTTCGTTGAAATTAATCGCAGTCGGAAATATAGTAGCAGTTCACCACGAGACGGTTCTTTCGAGCGGATGCAAGGCACCGTCCGCAGCTTCCAGCCTCTTGCCTCCATTGTGCCGGGCCGATAGCAGAAGAGCGAAATATTGCGTAACATATTCTTGCTCGTTCGGGCATAAAAACCCCCGGCGGTTATTATATTTAATAGAGCCGATTTTGCAACATCTGCGTTTTGTACGCCGGTCAAACACGTGGCTGGTTTTTAAAAAGAAAACGCTCGCCCGACCCGCATTGATTATCTCGAAAGAAAACAGGAACTTGTTCCGCCGACCTCCCCGTGCATCGGGTACCCCGTAGAAATAGCTTCGACCCTCTCGAAGGGTAAAATATTCTTAAACGATCCTCTCAGGTGAAGAAATCGAAAATCATGCGAGGAACTTCGAAATTAAATAAATTAAATAAATGAAATAATTATCAGCGAAAGAAGCTCTCTACGATAATTTCTAATTATTGTACGACACTCTTGCAAAAATGTCTTTCAAAAATTTAGTCGACCCATTCGTGGGTCACGAATTTTAATTAATTTCGATTTTTATAAAAATTATCTGAAATTTCCGCGCTGTAATACGTGTTTAATTTTTCACCTTTAATATTTGATTTATTATAATAATATTCCCGCAAGTGTCTTTCAAAACTTTAATCGAGCCATTCGTGGGTCACGAATTTTAATTAATTTCGATTTTTATAAAAATTATCTTATAGAAATTTTCGCGCTAAAATAAGTGTCTAATATTTAATCTTTAATATTTGATATTACAATAATAATATTCCCTCAATTGTCTTCCAAAAATTTAATTAAACCATTCATAGTTTACAAATTGAAATGAAATTGGGGGTTCTCTAAAATTAAAAGTTTTCTATAAATCTGTTAAAATTTTCGTGTCAATATACTTGTCCAATACTTCATCTTTAATATTCGATATTATAACACTAACATCCCCGCACGTGTCTTCCAAAAATTGCAAAAATCGAGCCATTTACAGGCCACAAATTTTTATCAATATCGCAATTTTCTAAAATCGAAAATTTTCTAAAAACCTTCCAAAATTTCTGCTCCAATACCTATCTAATTCGCGTTTAATATTCCAAAGAAAATAAATAAAATGCTCCGTTATCGATACGTGTCCTCGAGCCCGTATATTTTTAATCGCGAATTTCGACTTGGAAAATATTAACACGAATGATTTAACCCGAATAACAATTTTAACGAAAGACAAACCGCGCTGCATAATCGAAATTGTTTAGATTCGTAGTTTCGTTTATGTTCGAGCAGCCATAATGCGACAGTCGGGAGGGAAAATTGCAGGCGGCTATCGAATGAGTTTATTGCGAAATTAGAATGTTAAGTGATGTTGATGCACGGCCCGGCAGAGATGTAATGAATACCATACGCGGTTATTAATTTCGCCGATAATATGTAACGCATATTAATGTTGCGAATTCGATTGTAGTTTCATTTCAACGGTTACGAATGATAATGATCATCGTTAATTATGACACGAATTGCGAATCGAACGTCCTAAGGGGGCTTAGCCGGTACAAACGGATTGCTAATGCGATCGTTTGCTACCGTTTAATGCCTTCCAGCCCCAAAGTTGTCAAAAACAAACCCGGCTATACCTATCGAAATATGATCAAAACGCTCTAATTGATTCGGTTAATACAAATCGGCTTCGTTTCTTTACCACCCTCTACAATAATATTCCAAACCGCACCCTCTAGCGATCGCATGCAGACGACGCGATTTTTTTAAATTCCCATCCCTTCTGTGATCGAATTACACAGGGAAGTGTTTATCGGGGAAAGAAAAATTAATAGAAACAAATTTTATTTTGAAAAAGATTGTGCGGGAGATGTAAAAAGAAAATATATTTTAATACGTATACATAGGTACATATTTGTTTCGATATCGCTTTTAACACTTTGATTCAAAATTCACGGTTATTGTCATAATTGATTTCTCGATAACTCCCGCCATTCCATTTTTTGAGAATTCGTTTCCTCTTTGTTTGACACAGATAGGTCCGATATTGAATCGAATTTTGTAAATCGAGAGTTAGCTGTATCAGTGTAATTATTATTATCGAAATCGAACAACCCCTTCGATCGATCTCCCACCCCCGTTTCCTTAATTATAACAACAAACGCCGCATGTCGCGTATTTCCATTTTCAAAATATAGCCATTCGAAGTGCCGAACATCCAATTTGTGCTTATTATCATTGGAAAATATCAGTTCGTCGTTGTTGGTCCTAAATTGAAATTCGTTTTCGCAATAAATTTAAATTCCTTTAAACGGCAACACGGGTAACGTTCCCGTGCAACGGAATAGGTTCATCCTCGCACGTTCGTTTCTATTTCTATAGCGAGGATAAATCGCAGCGAGGGGGTGGTTTGGGGGAAAAACTATTCGCACTTGGAGCGGCGTCTCGCAACGCGGAGACGCATCGAACGCACGTCGAACACGCTTGGTAGCGGGCGCGCGGGCTGCGTGGGAAGGGTGGATGGGGTGGGTAATGTCGGGAAATGCAGCTAACGAAGTTTACGAAGACACTTAACGGAATTACGCCCTCGCCAGCAATGGCCTCTGCGAGTGCTGCTTTCCCCCCTGTCGGTGAATTCCCATCCCGAGCTGTGCTCGCGAGCCACCCTACCCGGCCGTTTCCCTTTCTGGTGGCAGGGGATCGTCGCGTTAATTACCGCGAGCGGAGGCAAGAAGCCGGGGAAAATCGCGGCGAGAGAGCGCATCATCGTCCTCGTGAATATAGTCCAGACTGGCTGGTGGCTGGCTGACTGGCGAAAGGTCGTGGAAGGAAAAGCAGCTGCTAGAAAGCACAGGGATGGGTGAGAGAGCGTGGGTGGGCGACGTTGGGTGGGCTGAGGGTGACTCTCGGGGCGAAACGAGGGAGGTTGGCTCGGTTTTGCGTCGAAGAAGGGTGTTATTGACATGGTGGGTGTCGCGTCGTCGGCCATCTTGGCCTGCTGCACCCTCTCCTCCGCTCGAGTCTCTCTGTACCGCGCTCGATCCCCAACCCACCCCACCACCCTTCGCACCCGATCCTCTCGCTCGCTCGCACAGCTCCGGCCGACCTTCCGTCTCTCTCGCGTCCAGGACATCCTTGTGTCCCCCTTGTGTCGAGTGACATTCGGGCTATACGCCCGGCCTAACCTGCCCGACAGACGCCCTGGGCCACCCTTTTCGACCAACCCCGGCGACGAGCTCCGTGGGTCCCGGGGGTTGCTTGTCGCCATGGCGACCGAACCCTCGCCCAACCCCGTCGACCAAACACCGGTTCCTGTCCCTCGGTACACACTTCCCTCTTCGTTTCTCGCTGTCTCTTTGCCTCCTCCTCGAAGCGTTTCCTCCACTCCGATTTTTCTCTTTCTCCGAGCGCCCGCGATAGTGGTAGTGGTAGCAGTCGCAGTAGCGCTAGATCATCCGCGATTCTTCGAATTCTTCCGCCATCCGTTGTTCCTTGCTCCGCTTCTTGCCTCCACGTCCTCTCGTCCTCTCGTCCTTTTCCTCGTCTACCTTCCCTCGCCTTTCCGTCCTTTCCTTCTCCCTTTTCCCGCGTCGGGCTTCCTTCTTCGCCTTCTCGCTCGTTCCCGCTTCCCTGTCGGTAAATATCGAACCACCGTCTCTCATTTTCGCTCGGCCGCCGCTCTCTCGTCGTTCGAGAAAAAGTAATATCGGCGGCGGTAAAGTATTTCCAGCGATGACCGCACCCCCTATCCGCTCCTCCATCCCGTCCCGCTTTAATACTCCTACTTTTCCTTTTATTTATGTATTTGCTCGACCTATTTCTTCACTTTCCACCGTACCTCGGCTGACTAAGGTAGGCATTTTTCTCTCTCCCGCTATTTGCTTTGCCCTTAAGCATTCTCGATTAGAAACTTCGGACTTCATCCTCTTGTATCCTCTGTATCCGGCATTCATCTTCGGTCCCTCTCTTCTGCCTTTATTTTCTTCCTGGATTGATATCGCTCTGCTCCTCTTATTTCTTTTATCGGTCATTTTATTCTCCTCTTTTCTCTTCTTCTTTTCTCTTGTAGAAATAATAAATTTGCGTGGAGAGCAGATTGGATGCTGCTTTTTCTACAATTTTCTGGACAGTTTAGGTTAGTCGGTGCTGACTTCACGGGTCACTGGGTGGGCGCAGAAGGCCGGTTCCCGTGCTAATGACGTATGACACGAGGGATGCTACTCGGCTGCAGCATTCTCCTCTTTGCCTGCTTTCTTCGCCGCACAGGAAGGCCTCGATCGCTACCCCCTTTGTTTGCCAACCTCCACTAGCTCCGCTCTTTCTCCACCCTGGACTGTTGCCGAGGGTTGCGATCACGTCGCTCCTCTTTGTCCAGGAATGTAATGATTCCTCGTCGCTTTTGTAGCGCGAAGAAACGCGGCTCGTGGCGTTTGTTTCGCAGCCAGTGGCGTATAGATTAGGCACACAGAGGTCTGTACAGTCGACTCCTTTGTCAGACGAGTTCTTACAACTCGATGAAGGCACTGCGACTACTGTTTTCGCGTAACACCGTTCCTCGAACAACGCGTTGCATGAGTCACTTGTACCCTGAACCGATTAACTCCGCGAAAATAAAATTAAAAATTCGCTTTGGATACGAAAAGTTTAGTACACGGTAGTTGAATGCGTTGGTAATTTAAAATTTAGAAATATTCAGGAAACAGTGTGGTCTAAGTCAAAATCCGAGAGAAGTAATTTTTAGTTTATATTAGAATAGTATAATGCTATTTTTTCGCAAAATAGCAAGAGATTGAGTTAGCGTTAGAAGGCAGCCTTAAGACGATTTTACAGCTAACTCACTAGCGCCACCGCGGCTCATAACTACTATACACGTTTACCGCAAATATCGTATACGTCGTTG